GTGGGGTGTGGGGGTGGGCAGGGGGGCGGGCAAAATATATAATTCCATGATAAAATATGGCTTTCTTTTCTTACTTTTAATTGGCAGTATGGCATATCTCTGATTATCCATTTTGACTGAGCAGTTACAAGCTACAACTTGCCTCCTTGGGCAAGCATACAATACACTGTTCACAAATACTTGAATATGCCATGTCTTCCTTTATTTTGCTGTACTGTTTTTAGGACTATGTGAACTTTTGTAGGAGTACCATGGCTATTCCTTTTTTCTCTGATTTTTTTTTCCCTGTTAATTTTTTGTGAATATTCTGTCAACAGTTTAATAAATGCATTTGAGACGTTCATAATCTTCATTAAGTAATTCTTGGTCTGCAGATTGTTGCAACTTTGTGAGCAAAGATAGGATTCAGAACATATGTTGTGTTAATTATGCAAACGACCCAATCAAGCTACAAATTGGCACATAATTTAGGACTGGCTCAAGCACAATAGATTGCTAATTGTATAATTTATGGTGCTAGTTGAATTGTTTAATGCAGCTGTTAACTATGAAGGAAGCATAGAGTTTAAAATCTCTCCCGATAAAGAAGAATGCAACTGAGAGAAATGCTGTCTTTAGGCTAGGAATATTTGAATGTTTTTAAAAAGCATTCTCATAGGGCAAGGCTGTGTTGCTGAACCATGATTCCCTTCAATGATAAATGCATAATTTTGGTGGGGAAAAAAATACCAGTTCTTAGTTATCAGCAAAATTCAATTCCTTTTTCTCTAGACTTTCCTCCACCTTGCTCGTTCTGTTGCCATTTCTCTCCACAGTTCGAGCCCCAAATATAAAGCAATTAGGATGAATATAGAAAGGGACTGCTTATATGTAGTTCTGCATAGACCAAAGGGGTCACTAGTCTGAAGAACTGACTGAAATAGCTCGGTCACCGAAGCTGCGTGTTGCACACTTCACTGCTGGCAGGCTGATCTGCGTGTGCCATTTACCCTGTATGTGCAAGAACTCACCAGGCTTTGTTGCAAAAGTTATTGAAATGACCTTGCAAGTAGCCAATTAATTCTATTTAAATACTTGCTAATGGCCAGAGAACAAGCGTAGTGCAAACTAAAGCTAAATCTTCAAATGCTGTTTTGCCAATAATTAGACTCAGGGCTTGTAAGCAATGACCTGCTATTACAGTTTGCCTGAAAACCCTGACATTTTTCCCCTGACAAAGGTGCTATTGAATGCAGGGCTGTCATGACAGAGCTGCAGTTGCATTCATTGACGGCATGCCCGAGGGTAAGAGACTTGCATATATACAAGGTGTAGAAAATACTTAATTTACTTGTTAAATCCGTTCCCTGTGCTGTTTCCCATTAGCAAAAGTCTTTGCCAGCTGCGACTGTAGATCCTGCTAAAGCTTCATGGAAATGGTTTCTTTTTGCTCCTGTTTTTGCAGGTTGGATGTTAGCTCTTTGTGTGTTTTGGGAGTTTTGGGTAGAGATTTCTGGAAATGAGCAGGAAGGAGCCCCTCTCCCCTGGACTGCCCAGGTGAGCAGAGCTGAGGCGAGCCGTGCAGGCGAGAGCAACATGCTCTCCTTTTAGGTGTGCAAACAACCCCATGCTGCTTTGCCTGGGTATGTTTAATACCCGCCCTGGAAGAAAGAAGTAAAGCATTTTATATCTGCAGAGGTGTGTGCCTAGGCTTTCTGGTTCAATATGATATAGCAGGAGCTGGCAGTATGTAGCACCTATCATTCTAAAAGACATACGATCTGCTTTCCTGGCTGCCTAGTTTGCTTTGTGTCTATGAGCAGTAAAGACAAACTCTGCTTAAAAAGTGAAACCATCCCAAGATGGAGACACGTTCCTCTTCAAAGCCAACACTGAGAACTGACACGGTTAGTATTAGTTTGTATATGCGTGCGTGCAGGCACACAAAGACACACAGCAACAAATATCAGCCAAAACCAGAAAAAAAGAGGCCTAGGTGCAGTTGTGGTTGAGGGATTGTTAGTTAAAGACTCCAACAATTGGCTTGAAGATGCTGTGTGCTACCAACTTTCTGTGTTTGTGGGCCAGTCATGTACTTTCCATGTAATAAGTTTCTTATTTGTAGAGAAAGACTTTGCTTTGCTTCTTTTTCTGTTCTTTTTCTTACCATGTGTTTGCACATTGCTTGCATATGGTGGTTGCTTAGGGTCAATACTTTTTATGTCAATACAGACATAATACAGGTTTATTTATACGTATAATCTAATTGCCTGGACTGTGAAGAGCTTTCAGGAAAATATGATGCCATCCTAACAGCAAAATTAAAGAACTGTAAAATCTCAAATTTCACATCATTTCTAGTTCTTTTTTGCTTTAAATTTATGTCACCACTTGCTTTGTAAAGTTACGGTAATGTAACCCAAAAGATGGGCAAGAATACTGTTCTTACCCTCAGTACTCATAAGCAAAAATAATTTGAGCAGGTCAGTCAGTAATGTGTTTGTCTTTCAACACCTGAAGCCAAACCCTATCAGATGAATTACATGGCAAATTTGCTCAGACATTGCTGCCAGACTTTGATCCATTGGGGTGGGATGCTCATTTCTAAGACCTTCCTGTTCTGGGGACTTTGTTCTAGTATGGACAGGCAAAGTTGGAAGCTGGATGCCCTTTTTTTATCTCTAGAACCAGCTGATCTGGAAATAAATCTGCTTTCAAAAGCAAAAATTTATAGAGATGAAAACTTTTGCCTCTGAGTCTCTTAGCTGGTTCCCGAGTCATTGTTTCAAATCTGCTCAGAAATAAAGATTCACTTGACTTCACTTGGCTTAGCTCATTGTAAAGATAGGAGCTGTCTTTTAAGCTCAAATTTAGCCATGAATCCAAGCTACTCTGAATAGTGTTTGCAAGGTTGGAATCACCACTCTTCTGTAACTTCATCCATGGTCTGTGCTTCAGGAGAGTAACACATCACCACTGTGGCCTCATCTGCTTAGTACCAGTTAAATAATCATGAAGTCTATGGAAAGGGTTGTTATGAATTTTTTTTTACCTAAAAGAGATCTGATTGGAGGGAAAAAAAAAAACCCAGGCAGTAGCATCCCCCCAAAGCCATGTACTGTCCCTGTGCTTGATCATTTACTAACAGCTATAACATTTCTAGTGATGGTTGTATAGATCTAGTTGCAGAGATTGGAAAAGGATTTACAAAGAAATGTTTGGTTTTGTTAAAAACCAGAAGATTAGATTTCTGTTCAAGCCATTCTTCTAGGAAAATTTAAGTATAACTAAAACTATTAAGTGTTTTCCTTTGTCTTTGTTTGTTAATATCATCTTCTCAGAGAAAGTATTACAGCTGTCAGTGTTTCCGAAAATGCCATAAAATAAAAGGAAAACATTTGAAAATATTAAGATACCTTTTTTCTTGGTTAAAACTACTATTTATTTTAATTGAAATGTGATTAACTAATTATAATTTAATTAAACATCATTAATTCTAGTAATTAAAATTTTGATTACATGAATTAATATTTTGCACAGATTGCTTGATGACTGAAAGACAAACATCCCGTTGCAAGGAGATAATAACTCAATCATCCAAGTGTGTTGAAACAGTTCTGCAAGTGTATGTATAGACGCTAGGTCAGGCCTAGCAGTAGCGTATTGTGCTGATGCAGAGTTCGCAGGTGCCTTGCTTTTGTAAATTATCTCATTATTCAGCTCTTTTCTTGGGCATCTCTGCCCATGCTCTAAGTATGTTCTGCAACATGAGAGTATTTGGCTGGTCCTGCTCCATTCCCTCTGAACAGAGCTGCTCTTCCACAGGGAACGTGATCTGGTGGCTACGGATGACAGGGAAGAGGAGAAAAAGGAGACACAGGCTGTGTGTGCAGTGACAATAAATAAGGACAAACTATGCTTTAGAAGAGGGAAGAGTGCGCGTTAAGGGAAAGAAGAAATGGATGTGTCCCAAGGGGAGAAGGAGGAGGCAGGGATGGATGACCATGTCCCATGGAGAGTCCCAGATGTCCAAGGTAGCCATCTTGCCCAGTACAGCAGCCAATTTGTCCCTCTGCAGCTTGGGGTCATTTCAGGAACAGTCCTGGTAGGCTTCAGAGGAAGTTCCAGCCAGCTGTGCTCTGCCCAGGAGATGAACATCGCGACGTGATGTAAGGACCCCAAGGATGAGAGTGGTAACCAGCAAACATGGGAGATTCCTCAGGGCTCCTGTTGTTGACAGGTCTAGCTAAGGTATGAAGGAATATGTTGTTATTCTAGGATTCTTTAATGGTTTTAGCAGTTGGCTTCCAAGGAACCTGGAATTTTTTATTTTTCTGCACAGTAATTGCAGGTTTCCTGGGATGCCATGAATACATCAGATGCACTTTGATATGATGCTTAAGGTTTGATTTGATCTCTTTCTTTTTTTACACCAGTGTGATCTCTTGCTAAATTGCAAATATTCCTCTTTCCTGTAACAATTAGGAGATTTTTAGTGTAAGTGTGTGTAATTTTATACAAATGCCTGAAAGCCAGACTGCTAAGTCTGATCCATTTCCTCTAAGAGAGGTTTCTTGCTTTGGAGAAAGGAACTGTTTTTGTTTTCAGTGTGGCTGAGAAAGGTGGGGAAAGATACATGTCGATGTTTATATATCCCATATACACATAATTCTATGTAAAATACGTGTTTGTGTATGTATGGTAATAGAACATGTGTGTATTGATGCATATTTGGAGTGTGGGTATAATTTCTGTTCTCATTCATATGTTTTTGTGATGGGTAGTATGTGTTTATAGTAGATATGGTCAAACAATTGGCCCAGCCTGTCCTTTGTTTTGTTGTCAGACTAGTGTTTTCTAGGCAACTCTTGCAAATATTCAAGACTAGCTCTGAAATTCAGGGATATTCATTACGGTAGATTGCTCTTAGTGCTATCATTTTTAGGTCCCAAATAAACCTCAGCAGCACATTCTTGACCATCAGGAGACACTTTTTTTTTTAATGAAAGGGTGACTGAGCACTGGCACAGGTTGCCCAAAGAGGTTGGGGAGTCTCCATCCTTGGAGATATTCAAAAGCGCTCTGGAAATGGTCCTGGGCAGCCAGCTCTAGGTGGCCCTGCTTGAGCAGAGGGGTTAGACAAGATTACCTCCAGAGGTCCCTTCCAACCTCAGCGATTCTGTGCTTCTGTGATTCTGTTCCAAATCGGAGCTGGTTTGTGCCTGTTCGTGTTTAGCAAGACTTAAAGAACTTCCCCTACATTTTAAGCACATCTGTCATTCCCATAAAAAGCAGTAACTAAAGGAATGAAAATTGTTTTCTAGGAAGAGATGAACCCTCAAGATACTTCAGTCTGTTGATATATCTTCTGTGTTGTTGCTGCCTGGATTTGATTTGCTCAGGACTAATGGCAAGCCTTCCAACATGAGGATTATTCATGTGGAAGTTGCTGCTGCTTTCCATCTAGCAGAGATGTGCCGGGCAATTCTAGGGCCTGGTGTAAGCTTCTTTCTACTAACTTCTTAATTATCTTAGCAAGGCATGCCCTGCATTTGATCTAGCTCAGCCATCCACTTGGATGACTCACAAAGTTGAATTTTCTGAATTGGAAAGGAATGCGAAGCACCCAGACGACATTGGCACTGCACAGCGTGGGGGGAAGAGCTCCAATACAACAGGAAACCAATCCATCTGGTGCTTTTCATCTTGGTCTGCAAATAATCCGCATGGTCTCATTGCCCGTGCCTGTTCCTATGAACCTGTGATCCTCAAATCTTTATCCCAACTGTGTCAGTGCAATTTTGCCCCTTTGAGTTCTGTATATAAATTTATGAGTTGCAAAGAAACTGGGAATATCCCAGTGCAGAGGAATTTTCTAGATGTGCTAAGACTACTAGCTGCCCCTTCATCCCAGCACCAGGAGGAAGCAAGGGATCTTTGCAGGAGGAACCAGGAGGACTCAGAGACGACGCTGTGCACTGGAAGCCAAGTCACTTGTGGGAGCTGTGGCAGCGGTCCGTGCCTCTCGGGTCCAGGTCCTCTGCTCCTGGGGCTGTCACCCTTGTTTCCTTCTCACCCCTCTGCTCTGCTGCCTTCCCTCCAGCTTGGGAACACTGCAGCACTGGGGCTTCTGCAGCTCAGTACGTGTATGAGTTGGGGCAGATCCCTTTTTCCGTGCACGCGCATTGCATCTTGAGGTGTAAATCAGGATGAGCCGTGCACTCCTGTCACAGATTGAGCCAAATCGCTGCTTTCCCCACATATAAGAAAAAGTAAACAATGACAGGCTGGCAATATTTTCTGTAGAGCAGTCTTGTGCAGCCTGTGGTTTGCAGGCTGTGGCTGATTCCTAAGACATAGGAAGGTGATAGGAGGCATGATGGCAACAAAACATCCTACCCTCTGGCCATGTCAATGGGAACATAACTTTCCTGACTGGCAGTGCCCAAGTGAAAGCGTGCAACTAATAACAAAAAGAGATACAAGAAGGATAGTGACTTCTCTTTCCCCACAATGGTAGTTCGTCCTTCGATTTTAAAATGGCTGAGAAACACTGC